CCCCTGAAAACCTCCACTTGCACCAGGAGTGTGGGCTGCGGAAGGGGAGTTGCGCACCACCTTAATCTTCTTCCAGCTCCTTGGCTGCTGACCACAGATTGCCCCAAGGAGTTTGTTACAGCGTGTTAAATGGTGTTGTGGGGGACACTAGATCTTCACTCCCAAACCACTAAGAAGCCTTTCCAAGGAAGCAGGCACCCAATGCACCTCTCACAGGTCCTTACCTCAGTTCATTGACATCACAGGTGGGCATGTTCACGGACCTTCCTCAGTCCCGCATGCCGCTCTCTGGAGTCTTTCACAGGAAGCCCACAGTCCCGGGGAGGGTGGTTGCCATTCGGCCCCAGTGCGGGAGTGGTTACACTCACCTCTGGAGCCCAGGGACTCAGAAGGACGATGGACTTTTCTAGGATGCCCAATCAAACACCACACACTTCCCAACCATTCCTCACTGGAACGGAGCCTCAAGGAGCACAGCAAAAGTTTACCTTGAGTGTTTGAAAATGTTCTATGTCTCAGTGAGGATTTTAGGAATCCAACAAAATGGATTCAGGGCATGCCTCCTTTATCAAAGTGTTAGTTTATCAAAGTGGCTTTGTTTTCATTTTACACCTTGGGGCTCCCCCTTCGCTCTGTCTCACACACACACAAACACACACACACACAGACATGTCTGTACATGCATTTGGATTCCTACTGCTTTGAGTAACAGGTGCTGAACTGTGCACGCCTTCTGGAGGGATGAAGCCTGCTAACACGTTCACCACCTGCAGAGAAGCATCAGATGCTTGGAGCGTGTATGCACGAGAGACCTTCAAAAAGTTCGTGAGAAAATGACGTTGTCTTTGACTTCCATTTCCCATGGACTTTTTGAAGCCCTCTTGTGGACACTCTAAAAGCTGGTAAGCCTACACTTCACTAAGAAAGGTAATCCTTTAGACAGAATAGACTTTTACTGTCGGAATGAGGTATGCATGTACTCTACAATACCACTAGTGGGCAGTGCAGACTTAGGGATGCAACTTGTTCGCCCTGCATTTTCGCATTCCTGTTATTTAAGTACTGATGAGGCAACTGTTTTGAAAAAGCCATGAAGTGGTTTACAAAACAATATGTTCACATTCAAATGTTCAACAATTTCTGCTCCACGGTGATTTTCCTGAGGGGAATAGCAAATAGGAAGCTGCTTAAGGAAATTTTAGGTGTCCCCACCCACTCCCCACTCCCAACCCCCCTCACAAACACACACATACACACACTGGCCCAGGACCCCAATTCACTGCCATGGAGTTGATTTGAGGCATAGACAGCCTATATAACGTTTGTGCACCCGTGGAACGCCACAGGAGGGACGTTCCTTCCAAGCGTGGGGTGGTGGCTCTAAACTGCCAGCCTTGTGCTTGGCAGTCCAATGTTTCACCGCCAGCACTATCAGAGCTCCTTGAATGAACTTTGATAGGGGAGAAAACCATAAATAAAGCAAAGTAGCATTCAACAGTGTGAACCGAGTTCATATTCCTATGCCCTTATAGAGAAATCAATTTTGTTATCTGTAGCATGTTCTTAATAGTTAAGCTGATAGGTTTTCAGAATAAGGATACCGTAACATTAGGGAATGTGTGTCTGAATCAAGAAACTGTTGGGTGAATGTTTCGGGTGCACCACAGAAGAGGATATTTCTAACATATGACCTCCCACCACCGTCCACTGTCCTCAAGTCGATCCCAACTCATAGTGATCTTATCTGACAAAATAGCACTAATTATTTCCTTCGGGTTTCAGACGCTGTAAATCTTTGGGGAGAGAGGACAGCCTTATCTTTCTCCTGCTGAGCAGCTAGTTGTTTGAGCCCCTGACCTTGAGGTTAGTAGCCCACAGCACCAACAGGCTCCATTGAATAAATGACAGTCACAGAAGGAATTTTATTAGAGACACTAAAATTTTGTTATAGGCTGAAATGAAGATTAACCACTTTTGGAATTATTTTTTAAATGATTTCTATTTGTTTATACTTATGCACACATACATATAACTAAAGCCATTCAATCAATGTGGACTCATAGTGACCATGTAGTGCAGGGTAGAATTGCCCCTACAATTTCTGAAACTAAATCTTTATAGGAGTAAATAGCTTCATCTTTCTCCAGCAGAGTGGCTGGTGGTTTCAAACTACTGACTTTGCAATTAGCAGCTCATCACATAACCACTATGACACGAGGGTCCCATATACATACATATATGCTTCCATACCCTAACAAAGAAATAAT